ATGAGCTGTAAACGAATTGCAGAGAAATGTGCTGCTGGATCGTGCGTTCTCGATGAATCAAATGGATCACATTCATGTCTCTGTCCATACGGTCGAATTGGACGTTTGTGTGAACATATCGACAGGGATGCTCATCAAAAACCATTGAATGCAATTCGTTTCAATGGTGAAAGTTCCTTTTTATCCTTACCACCTCCATCGACACTTCGCAATTACACGGTTCGTTCCGTTGGAAATATGAAAGTTTTTTAATTAGCAAAGCGGTTTTCTGCTGAGATAACGCATAAATTATGACTGTAATATCATTGTAATATCAATGGGGATGAATATCATTCATGAGACTGATCAAAATAACATTTAAGTATAATATAAGAATATGAACGAATTTATTCAATAAATGTCTGTCAATCATTGAACTGAATCCAATTACGGTTATTCTCTCATTTGCTCAACTCTCGAACTATTCAGTAAACTCTGGAGATAGGTACGCGATTTCAGTTAGTTCCTGGCCTTTAGTAGGAAATGATTTTTTGCAGCTAGAATTATTGGTGAGTCCTCGAACTACTCAAGATCAGCTGCTGGCTTACGTTGCGTCCGATTACGATCCCAAACATAGCAATTTCATGGGATTGGTTATGGAGAACGGAAAATTCGTCTATGTTTACAACAATGGCGATGGTTCTTCGATGAATTCGTTTCTGATTCCTTCTTTGAAGACAACTTACAATCCCAGACGCAATCACAATTCTGCAAAATCCAATTCTATTCCTTGTGGCTCCACTGATTGCTTTACTTATCACATAATTTTGATGCTTGAAATTATGGCGGAAGAATCAAACGTTTACATGAAAGAAGTATCATTTTCAGGTGATTTCGAGATTGAAGATGCTGAACAAGTCAAAGAAGGTAACGCATATAGGGTAGAGCTGAAACGAATCGGTCCGAAGGGAGAGTTCGGAATCAATCATCGTAAGGTGGCAAGTAGACGTCAACAACCTTCCTTCCAAGTGGGCACCGATTTATTTGTTGGTGGCTTACCGCCTGGTGTTGCACCACATAGACGCTTGGAGCAGTACAGTTCACTGAATGGTTGCATCTATAAGGTTTGTACTTTCATGAACTCGTTTTCCAGCTTTGAGTTTTGAAAATTTGTGTTTTTAAGTGGGATATATCAGTGTTTAATGTCTCAGAGAATATTTATCCATGTAATTCTCTCGAAGAGAAGATTCATTCTGAATGCTTGGCACAATAGATTTGTTTATGGGAGCTAAAGAGATAACTCAGAGGCCGGTATTATGATATTGTCTGGGCAACAACATCAGCTATGGTTTATTGGAGTTTATTGGAGGTTAATAAAATGAATGTAATTCAGTAACAATGAGGTACCTAAATGGCATTGTCACGCTTCAAGACGAATTTCAGATTTCGAGACACTTCCGCATTTATCTCATTCATTTTGATTAATGAAATAGCATTTGTAAATTTGATCAATCAGTCGGATTAAATTTGGGTGTAATGAATTGCGGAAAAATCTAATTCTCTCGAAGAGAAGATTCATTCTGAATACGTTGCACAATAGATTTGTTTATGGGAGCTGAAAAGATAACTCAGAGGCCGGTATTATGATATTGTCTGGGCAACGGCAACAGCTATTGTTGATTGGAGTTTATTGGAGGTTAATAAAATAGATATAATTCAGCAACAATGAGGTACCTAAATGGCATTGTCAAGACCCTTCAAGACGAATTTCAGATTTCGAGAAAGTTTCGCATTTATCTCATTCATTTTGATTAATGAAATAGCATTTGTAAACTTAATCAATCAGTCGGATTTAAAATTTCGGCGTAATGAATTACGGAAAAATCTAATTCTCTCGAAGAGAAGATTCATTCTGAATGCTATGCACAATAGATTTGTTCATGGGAGCTGAAGAGATAACCTAGAGGCCGGTATTATGATATTGTTTAGGCAACAATGTCAGTTATTGTTTATTGGAGTCTTTGACAGCCATAATTTGATGAATGATGATCATACTGATATAGCCGATTGTCATTATCGTGGCTCAGTGTTTACCAGTAATTCATTATCACAAAGATTTGTAGTAGCAAATCTGAGTGTTTAATGTCCGCTGGCGCTATTACCATTTGTTTTAATTATTGACATTCATTGCCATTCAGCATTATCTGCACGATTCTCTTTACAGATATGTTAAATTTAGCAGATATATGAATTAAACCAATGTCATTTGCAGCATTTCGTATTGCTTCAACATTTCGCATATGGAAATGAAATAAAATTCACATTAATTTGCTAACGTTAATTAAATTTTCGATCCATTTTCATCTATTAGCATAAAGTTGATTGATGATCACAAAATTGGTCAATTTTCTTTTGAGGTAATCGCATATCTTAAAATATTAATTCTGAAGGATAACACAACCGAATATGTTGATGACATTTGATCAATCTTCAATTTTGATCATAAAACATAAAAATGAATCTTTTCATGGATTCATTTCAGATCATCATAAATGGTGAAGAACAAGACTTGAAACGATTCGCTACAGTTTCATCGGGTGGTTTGAGTGAATGTGAGGAGGAACTCCCTCCGATATCTACAACTACCACTACGACTACTACTACAACACCGTTACCAGTCGTAACATCAACTGTTGCTGTAATGCCTGAAATTGAAATAACTCCGGCCGCACTTTTTACC